TGGGTTCATAACAAAACCGATTATATTATAATGATAAATAATAAAGATAAGGCTGCTTTCAAAAAGACATAAAAAAATATAATGGTTAAATAGTCATAGTTTTTTTTATAAATGTGTATATAGTTTGATAATTGAAAGTCATATTTTGAAAGACTTGGATAAAAGTAAAAGAAGTCGTATTTTGAAAGACTTAGATAAAAGTAAAAGAAACTATAATATAAGTATGCATTTTCCTACAATGCACCAAACATGAGTTCTAACAACAAAAAAAAAAAACCTAAGAAAAATAACCCCCTTCTCTTTCAAAACCTAATTTCGCCGCCGCCTCCTCCTCTTGGGCCTTCAGAGGCGCTTGGGCGCCGACCGGGCCGAGCTGAGCTCCCCGTTCGAAGTCGATGACCCTCCTCGCTGTAGAGATTCGCCGCTCCGCCGGTTGTCTATGAGTTGGGTGAGGGCTCACCAACTCTCGAATCGTGGGAGTTCGGCTGACTTCGACTTCTCCGGTGAGTTGGTCGGATGTTGGGTGTTACCCCCTTTCCCTTCTTCTCCGTTGTCCCCTGTGCAGGTTCTGGTGTTTCGGAGGTTTGGGCAGCGAGAGCTTTGGTTGGGCCATGTCTGGCTTGGGTCGGTGGGATTTTGGAAGATGCTCCGGTTGCTGTTCTGGGAGGGGCCCGTTTGGACAAGGAGTTTGGTCAGAAGACAGGTCCAGCTAGCCTATTGCAGGAGTTTTTGGGTTCTTCCTTCGGGCTGGGTTTCTTTCCTGTGGGTGGGTTGTCCCCAGGTGTCGGGCCGTCGTGTGCGTAGCTGATTGATCCCCATTTGGAGGAGGGCTTTTCTCTTATTTTTCTAGTGTTGTTGTGTTGTTAGTGTTGGTGTTGTGTAGTGTTTTTAGTTGCCTTGTTGGCTTTTAGTTTTTTTCTTCTGTGTTATAGTTCGATTCTCCCGTATGGGACTGTTCGATTCTCCCGTATGGGACTTTTTCGATTCTCCTGTATGGGATTGTGTAGTTTGTCTGTTTGTGGGTGTGTTTAGGTAGATCTCTAGGCTACCTTTGGGTATGTCTCCCTTAGATTCAGCTGGATAGCTGCTTGGTTATTCCTAGTTGTATCTAGGTTTGTAATTATGTGTTTTTATTTATATAATCTATCGTTTGGAAAAAAAAAAAATTATTTTACTGTACATGCATGTTAAAATTAGTCGGGGTGGAAAAATAATACATGTTCAAGGAAATCGAGAAGAATTTAGAAGAATTTCAATAGGCGACAAGTGACCTAATACATATATCGAAAGTCGTTTGAAATGGCAATTTTGTGCCTATGTTTGGTAAATTGGTTTCTGTTTTTATATTTTTGACTAAGGGAAAATTTCACTTTTGGTACCCTAAGTTTACCTATTTTTCAGTTTTGATATCCGTGGTTTCAACTTAATCACTTGTAGTCATTGACGTATCTAAAATGCATCATTTTTTCCCAAATCGTCAGTTGACCGTGAGTCAACTGGCCATCACCTTCTCTAGCCGGTTGCTTTCCCCAAAGAAACCTAAATAATCGGTTTCCCCTAATTCTTCCAATCGAGCAGACCTAATTCCTGTGAAAAAAAAACTCTAAACATTTTACCTGTAGAAAAATTTCTTCCATTTTATCGCATTCAAGTGGGAAATCGACTGGTGTTTTGGTGTATTGTGAGCTTCCATTTCAAATTTCCGACGAGCATATCCGACTCTATGGCGAGAAGGATTATACGTGGGTTGCAACCTCAATACGGTAAGTTTTTTCACTTCAGTTTGTCACTAAGTTTTTGAATTAATGGAAATTATATGGTTAATTTTGAAAAGTTCCATATTATCTGATTATTGTGAGAGTTGCCCTAAAAATTAGGGTTTTTTTCAGCTGAATAAATTAGTGGTTTTTCGATTATGAGCTGAACAAATTAGGTGTTTTCCGATTATGAGCTGAACAAATTAGGGGTTTTTCAGTTCTGTTTATTTGTTTATGGCCCTGGTCTGTTCTGTTTATTTGATTTTTCTTTTTTATTTTTTTTATTTTCTGTTTTGTAGACCCTTTGTTGGAACCAACTGTCTTCACAATTGAGTTTCTGCACGGTGGTTTAATGATGCATATTCTTGTGAAAGAGTACCGAGGTGGGTATTTGGATTATTTTGATAGGGTGGATGGGGAGATGTTTGGGTTGATTGAGTTAAAGGATTTTATAGAGCAACTAGGTTATAACAGTGATCATGTGAATGTCTGGCATGTGCATGGAATTAGTTTACTTTATTTCCACACTTGCAGGTCATCTCCATTGGAGCACCATTCTCGGAGTTCCAGCTCGAGCTTCCTCTTGAACTGCTCATTGCAAATCAAATTCTTTTTTTCTTTCCTTCATTGTCTGCAGCTTTGTATCACTTGCAGAAGGAGACGACCTGCTAGAGAAGGTGACCGTCAGTTGACTCACGGTCAACTGACGATTTGGGCAAAAATAATGTATTTTAGATACGTCAATGACTACAAGTGATTAAGTTGAAACCACGGGTATCAAAACTGAAAAGTAGGTAAACTTAAGGTACCAAAAGTGAAATTTTCCCTTTTGACTAATGAAAGTGAAACTAAATATTACCAACAAATTACTAAACAACAAGATCTCCTATTATATTTTGCTTTACTATATACCGTCTAAGAGCATCTCCAATGTTCAATATTGTAGTGGTATTTTACCTTCTACATCAACACATTTATTAATATCACAATTGTCCATCATCCAA